TTTGTTTAAGAAAAAGACCAAAAACTTGAATATTACTGATTTCTTTTCCAGTTATTGTTGCAGGATACCCAAGGACTCACTTTTTCTGAAGAAACCCTGAGGAAACTAACATGCTCTAACCAATCTTCCTTTCAAAATTTAGGAGATGTGAAATAACATCTAGGATCATGCATATGCTATCATTATTTTTTTTTTTTTTACACAGAAAGGCTTTCAATCTTGATTTTGGTATTTCCTTTTAACTTTTTGTTTTTAACTTTGAGATTTTTTTTTCTTTCCTCTGCTTGTTTTTTGTTACTTTGGCCTATGAGTGAAACTGCAGTTGTATGAGATATCCCACGCATGATAAATGGTAACTAAAGAGCTCTTTGTGTCTATATGTTGTATGTTTGTATGTCCTTTCCTTGTGTCCTTTTCTTGGCCTCCAGGGGTTGACAAATTGGTATACATGGTGCCCACAGACATTGAAGAAGAAAAATAAAAGAGTCTCCATTTATGAGGAAACACAAAGGTTATGGTTTCATTGTCATCATTGTACTACTGAACTAAGTTGGTGCCTTCATAGAGATTGAACATTGTTGTTTCTCTTATTTTTCTGATATTTATGGCAAAGCTTCCCAGAAATCTAAATTCAAGTACAAATTTGGTAGCCTGTCATTTGGCTGATGCAAGGAAATTTTGTGGAACCTCAGTAGAGCTCCTGAGACACTCCACAAAGTTTCTCCCTTTCCTTCTGGGAAAGGCATTAGATGAATTTGTTCTATTTGGCTTATCTAGTAGAGTAAAACTAGAAGGGAAGCATTGTCACTTGGGAAAATGGGTAACACCTTGACCTGATATGAATGTAAATTGTCAATGATGATTGTCACCTTGTAATATTGTATACTTCAATTGTTTAATATCTACAGAAATTGTTTCTGGAAATATAGGGAGAAAAGGTCTCAACAGATTCCTATTGATGGAACTGTTGAGAGTAAAACTTTCCTACTAAAGACTGAATAGACTTGGAAATACACCTGATATTTACTAAGTTTTCTTTGACATAATACTGGTAAATTTTTGCATTTTGTTCTGAATCCACAAAGTTTTCTTGTTTTGGTGACTGGGATCTGCAGCAAGGTTGCAATTTTTTTTTTTTTTTCCAGCAAAGCTAACTTGTGTTTGCATTTTCTCTCCCCTTGATACCAACACAGCATAAAATAGTGGTAGTAATCTTTTACTACTTAGCTCAGAGTCTGTTTTTGCATAACTTCCACAGGGATTTTGTCTGCTTAAACTGAAAAAATTGGACATAAGTTTCATTGTGTGGCTTTGTGTGGAGTTCTTCCAGAAAGTTGAAGCAGAGCTGAACCAAGAAGAAGAGAACCTGTTTGCTTTGTTCGTAGGGTTCCAGAGACCTCCAAAGAAGGTGAGGAAGCTGCCTCCATTGGCAGGATTGGACAGCCCAGCCAACAAAAAGTCCCTGGTACCCTCGAGAAGAGGAAAGCCCAGGTGGAGTCTGATGAGACCAACTTTGTTCCTGAAGCCTACATGGACCAGATGTCCACAGTTCACTCTGATCCTATATGGAGTATTCCAACAAAGTCAGCTAAAATTGCTGCTTAGTTATTCTGCCCTGTGATTTTATGCAAAAATAGGTAATATGGTTTAAAAGTACCTTTACTTTGAAAACTTTTGCTATGCTGTTCAAAAATTTGGGATTAAGGTTGAGAGAATTTGTTTTTACATAAGTTAAACCATTTTAAGATTTTTTTTCCTGTGATCTTGACATATTTGCTGTCTTGTTCTGGCTAATGCCTCCAGATGTTTTGTTTTTGGCTTTGACTGATGAACTGTTTTTCCAGGAATGGAGGACTTTTGCTTTCCACAACGGACAATACCTGGAGGGACTGGTTTTCCTTCACACTTGAACCCTGGAATTTTTTCATCTGAGACAATATCCCAGCATCCATATATTTGATATTCATCACCATGGAAATGGTGGCAAAAAGTGAAAGGGGGGAATTGTTAGGGGAAAAGGATGTTCTTTGCTAATCCCATACAGGCTTTGTGGACTCCACCCCACTCCAGACCAAAGTCATCAAGACATTGGGAAAGACAAATCCTGTCACCACCAAAGGGAAGGTGGCTGGGACCTGAGGGTGGAGTTAAGCAGCCAGGTTGGGTATAAAAAACAGACACGTGGGCCTTGGGGTCTCTTGCTCTGTCGCTCCCCTCCTGGCTTCAGGGCTCCTGGCTTGCGGCCAGCTCTCAGAGTGCCATTTGGGATTCCAGATTGGCGGATCGGGTAGGATGCATTTAAAACTTTGTCTCCCATTTTTCTCCCTGAGCTGTACATTTCCTCATCTGCCCTTCCCTTGTAAATAAACCTTTCATTAACCTTTTGTGTGTGCCTGCAGGAGAGTATTAAGTCCTTTTAAGTACGCGGGTGAGGACCCACAGTCAGGCACTCTGTTTTGTATTGGGGCTGCCCTATAACACTGTCAGGGGTTCCTGTAAGGATGAGAGTGCACAGAAAAATCTGAGGGATTAGGGGGAGGAGGAGTGAGGAGATGCAAACACTTGATCAGGGTGCAGACATCATCCTGCTGAGGGTCTCAGCAGCCCTTTATTTATTCATTACAAGCAAACAAAGTACACAAGCATATGTATAAGAGTAGGAAGATAACAATCATCACATCTTCCTCTAGAACAGCCAGGGGTTTATTTGCCCTTCAGCAGAGGTTGTAACATTCTTTATTTTGAAGAAGGCACAGTTGCTAAACAAAAGTGTTCTTAGAATAGTCATTTATCTTAAACAATCATTTTATTACTAGCAAAAACTTACGTGACTGAAGCTAACATTTCTATGTTTACCATGGTGAAGGGTTAACTAAGGGCTGGGGAAACAAAGGAAGTTACTTGGGGGACAGAAGACAGAGGGATTTTTTCTAACTAACCTATAAAGTTTAGACTAACATATAACCATTTGATTAAAGCAAAAAACAGAAGGCTTTTAAATAGAAATCATTATCTAATAGTGTTAGGGGGAAAAGGATGTCCTAAAGTTAATTTCATACAGGCTTTGTGAACTCCACCCCCACCCCAGGCCAAAGCCATCAGGATATTGGGAAAGACAACTCCCATCACCACCAAATGGAAGGTTGCTGGAACCTGAGGGTGGCGTTAAGCAACCAGGTTTGGTATAAAACCAGACACATGGGTTTTGGGTGGTTCCCTTTTGTCTCTATGCCAGCTCATGGCTCCCAGCCAGCTCTCGGAGTGCCATTGGGTTTCCAGGTCAGCTGATTGGTAGGACACATTTAAGACTTTATTTCTCTATTTTCTCTCTGAATTGTACATTTCTTCATTTCCCTTTCCCTTGTAAATAAACCTTTTATTAACATTTTGTGTGTGCCTGTAGTGGAGTATTAATAAGTCCCTTTTAATCGTGCAGGTGAGGACCCACAGCTAGGCAACCCATTTTATATCAGGGCTGCTCCATAACAGTTTGGCGCCCAATGTGGTTTCCAAGCTACACCTGTGGTTGACCAGCCCAAAGTAACTTTCCTTTTGTTGGTCCCGTAACAATAGTATATTGTTTTAATAAGATATTGATTCAATATTTAGGAACCAAGTGTCTGGAGGGCATCAATGCCAGCAAGCTGCACTGACTCTTCCCTAGCCCCAAGCTCTCAATTAAGGGAGGAATTTTCCTAATCTAATAGAATAGTTTTTCTTCCTATTACTCCTATACTTATCGAGTCAGCCTAGTTTCCATATCTAACTTTTAGATCAAGGGAAAATTCCTTTTTCTGTAAGATTGCTGATTGTTGTTTTAAGGAACTACAAATATTTCATCAGAGGCAGGGCCGGAGATGGTTATAGCTTTTGGTTCTCAGAATGGTTAATACCTGACATATCAGTAGTTGTAACATTGACTATTTCCAAGTGCATTATTTGTGCTGTCAAGGTTAGTAGCTTAACCAGTCACAAAATTGTTGTTGGCTTATTCTTGAATGCATACTCTAACAGCTACCATACCCATTGTCACTGGAAGGGAACTGCAAAGGAAAAGGGAACTGTTAAGGAAAAGGGAATCTTTCCCTGTAAAATAGCCATAGATGTGGAAATGTCAATAAAAGACAAGTTTGCTTCCTTAGTAAGCATATCTAAACAAGGCCTGGCAGCCTGCTAGGCTGGTTGTTCTCCTGGGCCAGTCTCAAAGATCTGCATCCTTCCCCTATTCCTGTGTCAAGAATTTGTATGCTAACTAACCAATGTTATCAATGAATCAGGGGATCAAACCGGTGCTGCAGAGGCTGCAGGCAGCTTTGCAACCCATCGCTCAACTGCTGAGCCACCGCCACCTGGGAGGCCCTGCAATTTTACTTTTAAATGCGTTTTTTAACAATGGTAGAAACTAGCCATAAACAAATGAGAATCTAGCAGGAGTCAGCTAAGGAGATTCCTGACTTTTTCAGGAATCTGTGCTACGCTGGGACCCTTGTCAGTCGACGTGAGTAGCATGGTTCCCAGCATAATAACATCTTTTTGAAAGGTTTTATTCTAGTAAAGTTAATATTTAAAGCTATAACCCACATAAAAATATTATGCATGGGATACATAATAATTTGTGAGACTATAGAGACATCCTGAAAGAAAAATGTTTGAGAATCGCTGACCCAATTCCTGGGCCTGGATTCAGGGAGACGGTGTGACAAAGGTCTTGGTGCAGGAGAGGAGGGGGCAGCAAAGTCCCAGGTCTGCGCGGGGGTGGCCGTGGGGGGTGTGGCTCTCAAGGTCTCAGTCCCCAGGGCGCTCTCTGGGGCTGGAAGGGGACTGTTGGGGCTTCCTCATCTCCCCAGTTTCACGTGTCACAGCCTGGGCGGGTCCTCCCTCCTGGATACTGGTGACTCACCCCAGGGCTCACTCCCCATTGCCTGGAGGTCTCCAGAGCAGCCAATCAGCAGCCCCGCGGCTCCCGTTCCAAAGCCCTCGCCCGCCCGCCGGGACTCCGTCTCCCCAGCCCGGGTGGAGGCGCGTCCTGGGGGATGGGGGGCGCAGCCCTCCTGCTCCTGCTCGCGGGGGCCGCGGCCCCGAGGGAGACCCGGGCGGGTGAGTGCGGGTCGGGAGGGGACAGGGCGCTCCCAGAGGCGGGAGCGAGGGCGCGGGCGGGCGTGGGAAAGGCGCGACCTCGCCGCCGCCCTAGTTGTCCCCCCACCTAGGCCCGCCCCGTCCTGGCCCCTTTCCGTCCCCCGAGACCCCAGCCTCCTCTGGCCCCCGAGTCCCGGCCATGTTCGTCCCGCAGCCGCTTTTCGCTCTCACTCGTCTTTCACCCACTTTCTGTCTCGTGGGCGCCCCCCGGGACTCGAGCCCCCGAAGGGGAGAAGAATAGCCCGGGTCTCCCCTCCCGCCCCCAGGCCCCCACTCCCTGAGGTTTTTCTGCATCGTGATGTCCCGGCCCGGCCACGGGGAGCCCCGGTACATCTCCGTAGGCTACGTGGACGACACGCAGTTCGCGCGGTTCGACAGCGACTCCCCGGACCAGAGTGTGGAGCTGTGGGATCCCTGGGCCAAGCTGGCGTTTCAGGAGGACTGCGTCGAGGAGACGTGGAACCTAAGGAACAACACACTGTGGTTCCGAGCGCAGCTGGACTCCCTGCGCGGCCTCTACAACCAGAGCGAGACCGGTGAGCTGGCGCGGGTCCGGGCCGGGTCAGCACCCCCATCCCCACGGACGGGGGTCGCTCAGGGTCTCCCCCTCCAGGCTTCTCTGCAACCTGCCCGGGAACAGCCTGCGGGACTTTCACCCCGTTTCATTCTGTTTAGTTTATTCCCGGCGGGAGGGGGCGCGGGCGTGGTGACCGCGGGGTGACTCTGGGGCCGGGACAGGCTCTCACACCTTCCAGAGGATGTCTGGCTGCGACGTGGGGCCCGACGGGCTCTTCCTCCGCGCGTACAGACAGTTCGCCTATGATGGCGCCGATTACCTGGCCCTGAACCGGGACCTGCGCTCCTGGACCGCGGCGGACACGGCCGCTCAGATCTCCCGGCGCGAGTGGGAGGCCCGGGGTGAGGCAGAGAAATTCAGGAAGTATGTGGAGGACAAATACTTGAGGTGGCTGCTCAGATTCCTGGAGTCCGGGAAGGAGACTCTGCAGCGCACGGGTAAGAGGGGCCTGGAGGCCTCCCGGGCCCCCCCTGCCTGGAGTCACTGCGGGAAATGAGTCCTCTCTCTAGTCCCGAGAGGGGGGCTCCCCTGGGTTTCATGTTCTGCACTGGAGAGACTCCCAGAGACTCCTGGTTCTCCTGAAGGACAGGGAAGGGATCCCGTCTCTCCTGAGAAAGACAGACAGTCCCTGACATCACACGTCACCGGGTCCTTTTGACCAGGGGCCTGTTTGGGAACCACGAGTTTCTCTCTCAGTCTTGTTTCTGGTCTGAGAACATTTTCAGTTATGTGATTCCTGCTTTTCTGTCATTCACCTCTTCCCTCCCCCCTCGTCAGAAATAAAGTCTGTGTTCCACTCCTAGCCTGGACTTTTATCCTGATTCTAGAACTTTCTAAGGAATAAGAGAATCTCATAGATTCCCCTCCCCCCCACTTCCCTGCTTTTTACATTTTATGTTTCTTCCTTCCAAACCAGTTGTCCTGTCCATTCCAAAGATGGTCACATGAGGATACTTCAATGTCCATGGAGGACACCCAAAGTGTGAATTTTCTGATTTACCCCCTCAGATCCCCCAAAGACACGCATGACCCACCACCCCACCTCTGAGCATGAGGTCACCCTGAAGTGCTGGGCCCTGGGCTTCTACCCTGCGGACATCACCCTGACCTGGCAGCGAGATGGGGAGGACCTGACCCAGGAGATGGAGCTGGTGGAGACCAGGCCTGGGGGAGATGGAACCTTCCAGAAGTGGGCGGCTGTGGAGATGCCTTCTGGAGAGGAGCAGAGATACACGTGCCACGTGCAGCATGAGGGGCTCCTGGAGCCACAAGTCCTGAGATGGAGTAAGGAGGGGACATGGGTACTTAGCTTCTGCCTGGAAGAATCAGGACCCCTTCTGGAAAACCTCTAGTGGCTCAGGATGGGGGACCTGGGGCTCAGGGTCTCAATCTCCCTTCCCTTCCAGTGCCCCCTCCTCAGTCCTCCATTTCCACCTTTGGTATCATTGCTGGCCTGGTTCTCCTTGGAGCTGTGCTCACTGGAGCTGCGGTGGCTGCAGCTGTGATGTGGAGGAAGAAGCGCTCAGGTAGGGAAGGGAGTGGGGCATCTTGTCCACCGAGGGCTTTCACGTCCCAGGGAGAACTTGCCCTGCCTGGTTAATGGGAAGTACCATCCACACACACGTGTGTTGCCCAGAGGGCATTTGGTCCAGTCCCCCCTCACCTCCTTTCATTTCTCCCAGTCCTGACCTGGGTCTTTACTCACAGTTCTGGAAACTTCCCTGTTCTGCAGGATTTGAAGATTCCTTTAGGCTTCTGACCTGACTCCTCCCTGGTCTCACATGATGTCTCTTCCCACAGGTGGAAAAAGAGGAAACTACCCTGAGGCTGCAGGTAAGTGTGGATCAGGGATTGGATCCCTGAGCCCCTGGGGACAGTATAGGTGGATTCAATGGGAGAGTCACCCCCATCAGTCCCTCCTGTGATCTCCTCTCTGACCAGGTTCTGTTTTGTTTTCCCCCAGGCAATGACAGTACCTCTGATGTGTGTCTTAACCCCTAAAGTGTCCTTCAAAATAAATCTGATTGAATAAAATTATTCCTATTGTTTTCAGATTCCATTTAATTTTGCTGTTTGCTTTTATTTTTTTCGCACTATCTCCAGAGCAGTGTCTGCAGGGTCACGGCACAGAGGGGCTGTCCAGCAGCCTGGAGGTGTGAGCAGGCCTGACTCTGACACGCCTACAGGGAGTGGGGCCCTGGAGCCCCAGAATCAGCCCCCAGGGCTGGCCCTCCAGGGCAGCGCAGGCCTTGCTCTGCCCTCCTCTTGGCTCTAGCATTGGTGGAGTTGATGATATTCTGGCTCAGGAAATGGGGGCCTCCTCCAAACATCTGTCTTTTCTTCATCTCTCTCCTTCATCAGCCTGAGTATGTGTGTTTGAGTCACACCAGCCCTGCACGGACAGGAAAAGGCCCAAAACGAATAATTTAGTGGTCAGTTATAAAGTCAACCCCTCTGGAGTTCTATCGGGAGAAAACAGATACTCTCCCAGACCTCAGCCAGAGCCCGTGTCACCCACACAGAACTTCTCCTGGCAGTGTCCCCGTACTGCCCATCCTGGCCCCATCCTCTCTGGTGCCCCCACCACTCCTTTTGGGCCCCATCCCCTTGTCCCCATTTTCATCCTCTGCTTCATTTCCAGGAGCCTCCCCATCTTCCTAGCCACGCCCTGGGGGCTCTCCTCGACCCCCCACCCTCATTCAGAGATGGAGAATTTTTAAAAGATGTGTATTTATTTATTTATTTTCTTATAGTGTGGGTCATCTTTTTATAGTTATTGTTACCCTTAGCTGTGGTGCTCCCACCAATAATCCACCCACATACCACCTCCAGCTCTTCCCCAGTTGGTTCATTTCTGCTGTCCCTTGCTGCAAGACATGGCTCAATGGTCAGCTCACGAGCCTTGTCTTTTTCTAGAAAAGTTGTCCTTTACCTGGGTGGGGTCCTGGGCTCCTGGGGAAATTGAAGTTTGATTCCCAGGAGGAGGTGCTTTCACCCTTGGAAGCAGAAACAAATTACAGAGACTCTGGAGTCAAAGGCTCCTTTCCAAGACTCAAGGCATATTTGGAGGATCTGCCCATAATCTGGGAATCAGCTGTTAAAATCTGGAAACCCGGTTCTATCCTTAGTCCATAGGACTCACTAGGAAGAAAATTTGAGGACTTCTGACCTGACACTGGACTTGGGCGCCCCCTTGTGTGCAGATCCCTGTCCTGCCGCTGGGGCCCAGGTTGCCCGGGGAGGGCCTGGCTGAGCAGGAGAAAGGGCGGCTCTGGGCTCCTGTGCTCAGCCCTGTGGCCACACGGGGGCGCTGCCGCGCTGCTCCGGATTCTGGTGGAGCCGCCAGGACAGGGCGGGGGCTGAGGTGGGCAGAGTTGGGGGTCCTGGAGGGCGGCGTCCTGGGGAGAGATGCTCTGTGAGGAGTCAGAGAAGCAGGGCTCAGAGGAGAGGAGACTCCGGAGCCTGCCTGGGTGTGAGGTTTCCAGCTTTTCTCCCCAGAACCCCTCTCTTCAGTCCCTGGGCAACAAAACCTGGGGAAACAGGAAAGTAGAAAAAATTTTCCTTCTCCAACCTATTAAATATTGAGGGCATTTAAAAAATAACATTTAAAGAATACTGTTAGACTTAGAGAAAACTTGCATAGGTAGTACAGGTCTTGTTTATCCCACACAGGTCTTGTTTATCCCATTTTCAGTGTTAACATCCTACATGAGTAAATTTTTTATTTTTACAACTAAGGGAGCAATGTTGACAAAATTACTAAACACCATGCTTTCATTAGTTTTTGCTAATGTGCATTTTATGCTTCATAATCCCATCCAGTGTGCCTAGAAGTCAGTTTCTCAGGCTCTCCTTGTTTTTATAACACTGACACTGGTGAAGAATGATATTCTGGAGAGGTGTTGGGGTCACAGATGGGGGTTCTTGGGTCACCCCTGAGAAGTTTCTCTAGAGTCCCCCTTTAAGTGGCTCGCGTGTGCGTGCCACACGGAAAGAAGATGCTTGTGCAGACACAAGCAGGCAGGAAGAGCTGCACCTGGAGAGGGCAGGTGTGTTAGCAGAAGCCTGCAGGTCCCAGGTGGCTGCCTTGGGAGCAGAGCTGAGTCTTCCCACAGTGCACTGGTTTAGTGTTCTAGTTGAGAGGGCTTCATTCCTTTGTGCAATTGTTATCTCTCTTTAATCACTTCTATGGTGTGACTAGGCTGATTTGTCAGGAGCAGTGATTCTCTGCAGTGGCTCTATCCCCATATCCCAGCTCTGGTCTGGGCCTCCTTATACTTCCTATAGTGTCTGATACTTGCGATAGCAGTTGGCCCAAAGCGTTTTTCATTTCTATAGTGGGTTTAATGATGATGTTAATCACTTCTATCCCCTCCTCCAGTTTCTGGTCATGTGACCCCTCCATCCCGAATTTTCTACTCTTAGCCTCCATCAAAGAGTCCTGCTCAGGACTATTGTCCCTTAATTTAGGTGTTTTTTTTTTTTTTTTTTTTCTTTCTTAGTGAGACTGTTGGTTTGGAGACGTAGACCACAGGGATGCAGGGTCATTCTCCACTCAACACAAAAAGGGCACATCATGTCCATCTGACTCATCACTGATGGTGTTAACCTTCAACACTAGGCTAAGGCAGTTTCCCAGCTTTCTTCCTGCAAAACTTCTCTTTTTTCCATTTCTTTAGATATTGTAGTCTTTGGAGGGGTCTCAGTGTGGCCCTCAAGCATACGTGTCATTTCCTAATTTTTTGCACATTTCCTAATTATTAGATTCTGGCTCACAGAAGACCCTGTGGGATGAGAAGTCACATCTACTTCTTTGGTGTGATAATTTGTATTGCTTAGGATTTGATAACAGCAATGCAGGTACATTTTTGGGAATTATTTTCTAGAATTTAGATTTGTATCATTTTCTGCTGTATCTTAAGGAACTGGAGGGAACGTGTCAGAGGAAGGCGGTGGTGTCCGTGCAGGTCCTTCCCTCACAGCCCGGCCCAAGGAGAGTCCCCGAGTGTCTCCTCAGGGGCCTCTGCTGCCTCCTCAAGTGAGCAGAGGACTCACGTCATGGAGGAGGGAGACCTGCCCTGTCACGTCTTCCCTCCTGGGGATGAATGTGGGGAGTGGGCCCCCAAGCATGTGCACATGTGTGCAGAGCCCCCAAGCATGAGTACAAGGGGTTCCCAGGACCCTTTTTGGTGGAAAGGATTTGATGAATAGCTAGAAGAGCACCAGAGCAGTATCTGCTCCTCTGCTGTAAGTCCAAGGTCTAAGCTCCAGGGACAGCTGTGGGGTCTCTCTCAGAGGGAGCTGGTCCTAAGTGACTCACCTGGTGGCTTCCTTCGCCCAGCCTGGACCTGCCTCAGGCCTTGTCCCTCGCTCAAGATGTTCACCTATTCTTGGATCTACGAGCAGGAAAGGCCCCTGTAGGGAAAGTGATTATCAGGCTTTTCTGCCCTCCAACCACTAGGATTGATGATGGACCCTGCGGTCCTGAATTGCATGCCTGATGGCGGCCCCTGGAGTGGGGGGTGGGCACACGTAGGGACACCTGGGCTGAGACTGGCTTGTAAGGGTGGTGTCACGGGGACACCAGCAGAACAGCAAAGGAGAAAAGAATAGAAAGGAAATGAGAATGAGTAGAAGCACAAGAGCAGAAGAGCGAAAGAGAAGCAGAAGAGAGAGAACGAGACCACGAGAGAACGCCGGAAAGTCCAGGAAAAGTGAAGATTCACCAGGGGCTCTGAGGCCTGCCACCTCCCTGCCCCCCACCACACCTGCCTGCCGTGTACCTGAGTAGATGGGTAGATTGGGTAGATCCCAATAAAAGCCTGAGAAAGCCACTGAGGGCTCCAGGACTCTCCTTTACCCATCTGCACAGGGTCTTAGAGATCCTGCTCTGTGCCTTCCTGCCGCTGCAGCCCCTTTCCCTGCACAACATGCGCACACGCCCGTTTTCACTTGGGAGTTCGGGTGCCCATAGACCCTCTCAGCACCCAGGCTGCTTCTGTGAGGACGTCCTGCACCATCAGGATCTGGGCTGTGGCTGGAAATGGGAGATGATTAGGACCTGGAGCACCTGCCGGGGCTCCTACTGGCAGATCTGGGGACACGTGGAGAACCCAGACCTCCCACACTGACTGTGCCATCCTCCCTGCCCCTGCACCCTGACTCTGGGCCACCTCCCCACATCCTTACCCACTTCTAACCAGACATGCCCCTTATTTACTGTCAGTCTCCAGTCTCCCCTTCCTACCAGGACACGCGCTCCACAGACCAGCAAGTTGGGCTGTATTTAGTTCATTGAGGTTTCCTAGATGCAAAAACAGCCTGTCACACATCTGATGCAACAATTAATTTATGAATGATCAGGGATCAGGGTAAAGCACCTCCCCATTGCAGAGACAGTGTCTTTACTAAGGTAGCCTCAGACCACATTCTACACACACCTCCACTCTCAGAGACGTCAGTGTCCCCTCTGTTTTTATCACAAATGCTGCTCCTGCCCCCCTGCCCCCACCTTTTTCTCCCACCCCAAACCTGCACACCACAGCTCACAAGAATATTTCTCCCTTTAGAAAAGAAGATCCTGGGCCTCCCTGGTGGCACAGGGGTTAAAGACACAGCACTATCAAGCTATCGACAGCCACTGCAGCATAAGTTCGATCCCCACCATGAGGTGACCCACATGGCGCTCCAGACCTCTCCTGTCTCTCCCGCTGCTCCCTTCAGCAGTGTATGTCAGTCAGTCTGCCTGTTCTGTTCCCCACGCTGTCTCTGGTGAATCCTCTCACCGCTCCCCCCACTTCTGGCCTACACCCCAGTTCTTGTATGCATAAATAAATAAATCTTAAAAAAAACAATAAAAAAAAGAAGATCCTAGGTTTATGGATCTTATTGTTAACCAGCAGTGAACATAGTTTAGATCTGGGATATCAGACCTGAGGGTGGGGAGAGGGGGCAGCTGCAGAGAAGACAGAAATCCAACAGGGCCTGATCTAAGAAGAGGAATTATCTGATCCTCCCCTCTACTAATACCCAAAGTGGGTCCTTTTAAATGGT